GGTTCATCATACATATTTCATATAAATGCCTTTTTTAGGTTCTGCCTCATCGTCCAAGTATTGTTACCTCTTTAAAATGCAGTTATTATTGTTGTTTTGCTACACGTTCGACTTACATCACACTGTTTTTATATGACAGTACATATTTGATTACATAGTCAGGAGCATAAGTATATTTAAATTCTGTATTGAACGAATGACAACTGGTTTGCATTCGTTTCAGAGTCAAAAATGACAGAAATATGACAAAATGATGTTTTATCTTTCCACAAAACAAAGCAACACATTTTCATCAAATTCAAATCATAATAAATTTTCTTTTCTTCTATTTACAAACACTAATGTGGTATGGATTAAAAACTTGTGAGAGATTCTCTGCTTCTTTGAGTGAGCTACGAGACAGAAATAATTCAAATAAAGCATTTCAGGGTGTATACATACCACAGGAGAGTTTAAAAGGGGAACTCCACCAATTTCTCCAAATTCTTATATAATTAAGTTATATAGGAATATATTAGGTTAGGGTGTAAACAGAGTCGTTCAGAGTGGTTTGGTGTGAAATGCTCTGTTCTAGAGAAACTTACAGCCAGAATTGTTCACAGTGGTGGTGATGGGAACCAGACGTCCACCTTTAAAAGCTCCCTCACAGAAAGTTATTACATGAAATGGTTATGAATACACTGCCTGATGTCTGAGACCATGTTTTATGATAGTTTTGAAAAGATTTTGGCCTAAGTTGTATATTTTCTTAAATCCATTCATGGTGGAAGGATACATGCAGGGTAATGTGAGGCAAAATAGTCCCCAAATAAAACTTTTAATTTCCCATCATCAACATTCCATATGAAACTCAGTAGATTCGTGTAGGTTCACTGGTGGTTTTGGATAGTAAATAAAGTGTCTTAATTTGTGTTGTAGTCATGGTGACCCCTGGTTCTTATCACCACCACTGTAAAGAAATCTGAACCATTTCACACCAAACCACTCTGAATGACTCTGTTTACATCTTAAACTCTGAATTATGCTGGAATTTTTAAAAAGCAGTGAGCATCATAAGATACACGTACAGATTCACACAGATAAATGATATGTATGGACAGCATGTGATGGACTCCTGGGGCAGTGTTAAAAAAATTCTCTGCATGTGACAAATGCAAAAGTTTGGACGCCCCCTGGTCAAATGACATAAATAATAAAATAAAATACTGTTAACACATCATCTACAGAGAACACATTGCTGCACATTTTAATACATAGTTACTATTTGTTTGCTTAATTTAACACTCTGGAGGAACAAATAAAACACAAAATGTGGCCTTTTTGCAAAAGTTATGGCACATTTTTTATTTTGTGTTTTTTGCCAATATGTTAAATATTAAGTATTAAAATGTGCAGAAATGTGTTGTATGTAGAAGATGTCTTCACTTATCTTCAAGGACATGAAGTCGTTGTGCATAAGACTAGATTAACAGAGGAAAGAGATTTTTCTTTCCAGAAAACATATTTAACAGAAAACTACACAGAATCCTCAACAACTAAATCTAATATCAGCTGTTTGAGTGGTCAGTGTGTTACACTTTACCTTTATTACAGCTTCCATTCTTTTTAGAATTACTTTCAGTTTCTCAAAGAAATCTGCAGACACACCTCCAAAGTTCAGCCTTAGAAGTTGGTTGATCATTTTCTGAAGTAATCAAACATTCAGTGGCGTCGAGGTCTGGACTCTGGTGTGGTCGGTGCATTCTTCTGAGAACAACAAAAAATGTTATGTGTTACAGTGTAAGACTGTAAGATTCATATTTAATTGGACCATTTCTAAGAGTGCAAGATTCAATTTATTGTTAGCTGCATTAGCCTTGTAGTTCCAGTGCTGAAACTAAAGAAGGGAACATGTCTTGGGTGATCGACTACAGGGGCGAAGGGGGTTACGTAACTGGGCTTTTAGCTAAACTAACACTTTAAAAGTGTATGTGTAGTTAATTTTAAGACTGTTGTGTCCTCCTGGTTTTAATCCACAATGGGGAAAAAAGACCACGTCTCCCTGTTAGGGAAAATATGAACGTCCCAGTCACATGACCAGTAATTCGTTAGCATCTTTTCTTTGTTTTGTTTTGTTCTCCAGCTACAAAGTCAGAAGAGAATTTTGTCTGAGCTTCCAGACTGACCTCTTTGTACAGAATCACATATCAAATTTGAGATTTTGCGCAATACGCCCCTTTAATAACTCGGGCTCTTTGAAGCACGTGTGCAGTGCACGTATTGATTGCGATGGCTTTCATTCATTTGGTAGTATCTGACTACAGTGCGTTTGGGTAGTGTCTCTGTGTAGTGCAAATCCGCATGGCCCGTTCACCCACTGACTGAGAAGAGGGGCGTGTGAGGAAAAGCTGGCAGGCTTTTGATGTAGAAGATGGCAGAAAATAGTTGATAAGCAATGTCAATGTTTGTGCCCATGCTCCGTGCTACTGGAGAGGGTGAGATACAGACTGGATGGTGTCTCCATTTCTGTCTTTTTTTTTGTAGTGTCTTTCTTATTTTTCTCTGTTTTTCTGACTCTTGCTTCTCTTGTCTTGATTTTTTTGGGAGTGTAGAGTGCGTGTATGTGTTTGGACTGCGAGTTCAGGTTGGGGATGTCAAAATAATTTGCATTTTACTGTGCTACATAAAGGATTAATGAACCCCTGTGGCCTGGAACTTCAACTTCAGAGTTCGCCCACTTTCTAAAACTTCATCTGACTCGCCATTTGTTTCATTTCAGCAGTAAATAGGGAGGAGGAATTCTTTTGTGCTCGAATCGCCTGCGCTGCTGATAAATATAGTGCTATAGAGCACGTAATATCTCACCACTGTCCCAGTCACAGCAGGACACGCTAACTGGCCGAGGCCAAGGCCCAGTGCTTTAAGAATACTACATATATTTCAGTAAAATACTGATGGATTTGTGATCTCCGGAGTATTTTCAGATCATAACACTTCTACGTCTACTCGGGCGTATTAGTGAGTAAAGGGATCTACTGTTTACCATTTTTACCATTCAGATTTATTACTAATTCTTTTTTTGCATGTAATTTTATTATCTTTTGTTGGTGAGAGCATCTGTACTGCTCTGTGATTGGTCACATTTCTGACTTTGGAGCTTTAGCGTATTATTTTAGACCAAAAGAATCCCAAAAAGACAAGAACAGAGTCGTACAAACATCAGTTCTTCTCCTGACAGATATACTAAAAGTTCCTCTGCATTTCTATAAGGCTGTGTTGAGACTTCAGGCAAAATGAATTTGTTTCTTAAATCAGATCTTTTGAGACGACTGTCTGCACTGTTATTCCCAAGTGTTCAGATCGGATTTGTGTGTCCAGACATCACCAGCCTATCTGCATGGGTTGCCGTGGTAACAACGAAGGCATCGGTAAATACGTACATGCTGCCGGAGAGATGGAGGCGCATCATTCCGCCTTCCACACTCTTTAAAATTCTCTTCATAAGCAAGAATCTTTAGCATTCTTCTTAAATCTGAGCGCTTCCGTCACTCTGGATTTGACATCGTCGTTGTTGCATTGAGAGTGATGCAAAAGACACTTGAAGACACTGAAACCCGATCTGAGTAGCCAGAGTGACCTGACTGAGACGCATCTGTAAAAATTTGATTGGAATTTTTTTTAAACCACGTCCAAATGTGGTTTGAATCCAAGTTGCAAAAATCGAATTTCAAGTGGTGTGTTTGGTGTTCAGACTATCAAAATCAGTCTGGATCCGATCCGGATTTGACAAAAATCGGATTTAGGCTTGCAGTCCGAACACAGCCTAAGTTACTCAGCATATAAGTAACTTCTTTGACCTGATACTTTTGTACGTCTACTAAAGCTGTTTTCTGGGAAGGTACATTTACTGCAGTCGTTATTTTACCCAAATATTAATACTTTTATCTGAGTATTGATTTATTGTACTCCACTCATTTCTGGAATACATTTCAGGTTTGATATGATTTTGTTTAGGTGTTGAAAATGTTCTTGGTTCCACAGACCTCTAGTTTGGTTTTCATGTTCTCCAGTAGAACCAACAAAAACTAACAAAATAAACCCCAACCTCTACAATCTAAGCTCTTCAGAATAAACACCCAGTCATTTGAGTGGGCGTGTCCATAGCTTAAACCACACCCACTACCCACCCACTTTACTCTGATAGGCTGCACCCAGATTCCTAGTTTTGATCACCGATGATGGTTATATTTCAGTACACCATTTCAGATGTTATTTCAGTTATTCTTTTTGATATTATTATACAATTATTATTATTATTACTATTATTATTATTACATTATCAGTCAAAAGATTTAACAATAATGGCATTAATGTATGTTTTCCACAAACTTAAGGGAATATGGCAACATTTTCCAGCCTAATCTCTGTTTGCTGTAGAGCAGTGTGGTGTGGTCAGCTCTATTATAATAGAAGCTTCAGCATCTGCCCATTGATTTCTGGTATAATTGTGTTTTGAGTCGCCACGTTTTCTGTTCTTTTCTAACTTCAGGCAAACATGTTGGTGTTAATCGACCGTATGGTACAGACACAGCAGACAGAGATTAGATACAAAAATGCTGGAATATTCCTTAAAGGGGCCATATTCTAAACATTTTACCCTGTTTTATGGACCAAAAACAATAATTCATTTTAACACGACAATTTCCCAACCCTTCTTTATCCCTTTGGCTGTTTGTGTTACTGACTGATCAATGTAAATGAACTCTGTTCTGACCGGCTGCCTTATTTCAAAAGCAGGGCCGAAACACTTTTTGTAACTTCGGGGTGAATGGGCGGGACTAAACTTATGTAGACTGAATATGCAGCTTTGTTAATGTTTGACATTAATGGTTTTGCATTAACTTCCCTTTTTCTCTAAGAGAAGAGCAAATAGTGAAGCTGATGCCTATGGATAAATATATGTCTAAAGCAAAAAAATATATATATATATAAAAACTTACTAGTTTTGAGCAGCAAACAATGTCTCAGCATATGTGTATCTTCTTCAGTCCTGTTGGAAAAGCATAGCAGGTTTACTTTCTTAACTTGAAATGGACATTAATATAGGATAATATAATAATAAATGTTTCCCAAATAATTTTGGACCATTTCTGTCTATTCATTGTGAAATTTTAACATAATACACAGAGTTTTTAAATTAGACAAAAAGGTAAAAACAGCACAGAAACAGAGATCCAAAGATTTTCACGCAACAGCAACGATATTTAACAATTACACAGAAGCCTCAAAAACTAACTCGAATATCAGATTTTTCAGTGTTTACTGTGTCACTCTTTACCTTTATTACAGCTCACATTCTTTTCAGGAGACTCACTTTCAGTTTATCAAAGAAATCTGCACCTCCAAAGTTCAGTCTTAGAAGTTGGTTGATCATTTTCTGAAGTAATCAAACCCATTCAGTGATGTTGAGGTTTGGACTCTGGGCTGGTCAGTCCGTTGTTCAGCTTCTTTGTTTGATTTGCAAATTTTCTTCTATCCTTCTTTCTCAGCAACAGAATCATGAAAAGTTCTGTTTATGTGATGGGGGCAGTTTTGGTGTCTACCAGGTTTTCCAGGTGGTTGTTAGGAGCCCCATTTTCTCTGTTGGTTTTAATCATTTTTGGAAACTCATTATTTTCCTTTGGCTTTCCTCTTCCTTATGCAAGTTCATTATCTTACATATTTGGTCACAGTATAATTCCATAGGTGGAACTGTTTTTTATCCTAAAACGTGGAAAATAGTGAAAATAAAGGGAAACTTCCTTGCGTCTTTGCTAATGAAGAGAAGCAGAGTTACAGAAAGTCTTAAGAAGCGTAAGAATGCTGTCACGTGATGAGGACCAGGGCCATTCCAGCTTTGATCACTGTTTTATTTTTTTTTCTCTTTCATCAAAACCAGCAGTGTCTTTTAGAGCAGTCACAAGTATTAGTGATGTACAAAGAGTCTTTATAAGATAATGTTCCAAGGACAAATACAGTATGTCTGAAACAAAACCATTTTGTACCCTACAAGGTTTACGCCTCGCTCTCCGGCAGCTGTGCCATTTGAACCCACCCTAAAAAGAAGCGACATTTTATTTCAACGGCCTAGAATTTAATAGAAGATTCCAACATGAGTAAGCAAAGAGCTGTGAGCATTGACCCTCAGACATGTAGAGTTATGGTCATTTGGCTTACAATCCCACAGGCTCAGTATTCAGCTACTACACAGACTTCAGTGCAAAGTTATTGAAATGTGTGTAAGCGAAGTTTAGACCAGCCAAGGGCTTCTGGCCATTTATAGTTAAATGTAATTACATAAATACATAATTACATAGTTCACTGTAAAATATTTACTTGTAAAATTACAGTAACTACCTGGCAGTTTCTCTGGTATAATGCTGTTTATTTACAGTACTGACACTGTAATTCACAATTACATTGCTGTAATCCAAATATACAGATTATTTTCCTATTTTTTATTTACAGAGATTAACTGTTTATACAGTAAGGAACTGTTCATCTACAGCACCTGTGCACTGAACTGAAATTCCTATTTACAGAATAATACTGTAATTATATAATAAAGTCGTCTGCTCTAGAAATCTTAGTGCTACAAGTTTCATATAAGTATGACCAATGGTGAACCATGACTATCAGAGTTAGTCCTTCAGTTCAGGCCATAAATGTGGTTAAAAACAAGGAACGCGTCTACAACAATGCTAATTTCTACCAGCGCTACTATGAGATTCTAGTAGTATGTTAGTGCTACATGAACATTTAGGCCATTTAGATTAAACATGGTCATCTGAAGCTTGTAAAAGTTTTATTTGAAGCTTGTAACAGACATTAGCATCTGTTTGAGCTTCTATATATCTGTTTTATAGTGACTCTTTCAGTGCAGAGTTCTGGTGTAGAGCTGCCGCCACTGTTTTCCATTCGTAACAACTACCCGAATCGCTGCTTAGACTACGACTCATATCGACTATAAAATTTTGAATCTCTTAAAGGTTTTGCATCTTCATACATTTCTGAGTGCTGACAGATGATGTTCCAGATTGAGCTTTAAGATCATTTGGTGCTGCTTTTCCATATACCACACATGAAACTTAAACAGAGCAGAGAGGCAGCGTTTTGTTTTTATGTACCAAATATCTGGAACACGTTACCGATAAACATCCATCAGGCTCCTTCTTTAATAAAACAGTTAAAAACATATTTTTTACTTTAGCATTAAACTAGTTTTTATTGTTTCCTTTGTTTTTACTGGAAATTTACTGTTACTTTTACTTTTTTGTCAGTTGTATTTCATTGTATTTTTATTTAAACCTATGTTTTGCTTTTTACTTGTAATTATTATTAATATATCCACTTTTCTGCTATTTGTTTATTTCAACTTAGATAATCTTTTTTTGTCTTCTTTCTCTGTTGTGTTTACTTTGTACTGTGAAGCACTTTGAGCTGCATTTTTAATGTCTGAAAGGTGCTATATAAATAAACATTATTATTAAAACATTATCATATTCACATATTCATAGTCAGTTATGTTCCAGATAGGCCTAGAGTGAATTTCTTCCTCACAAAATTGGTCCCATTGTAAATCTAAGCGTAACTGGTTGATTCCTCTATCACCACCTAATGTTGTTGGTAGTTGGTATTGAATAAACATGTAAGGCCTTGAGTCCAGCTCCTGGAGTCCTAACCAATAGGAGAACTTGCTTGGCTGAATCTACAAAGACACATTCCTGACTGGTTAACTTCAAGATGTTTTACAAGATCTTTTTGCTTCCAACCAAAATTAAACAATGAAATAAGAGTAAAATATCACTATAGGATGAACTGCTTTAACAGAAGCACAAAACATCATGTTGGAACATGTATTCAAACATGTATTTAGGTTAAGAATAACATGTTTAAATAAATGAATATTTTTTGTGAAAGAACTGTAGACGTAGAAATGAACAGAAGCAAGCAAGGGAATGCAGGAAAGCTCCACCCCATCACTAAATTATTCTGCACAAATTAACGGTCGCTTTCCCAGTATCCACTGCAAATAACAGTTACTTACTGTAAAATCTGACATTTTACCCTCCTTGGCAAGAAGCTCATCAGGTTTTAAAGCGGTGCAGAGTTTCTGCTATAAATGTATAGGTTTTTTACAGCATATATGCACATGCAATGCAATTACATTCTGTTCGGACTTATTCAAGTCTGCACTTCTGGCTTTTTAGTTTGTTTCGATGCCAAGAAATGGCAAAAAGATGCCAAAAATGGAAAGAATGTTTTGTTTATGCAAAACAAGCCTGTACACACAACAATGACTTTTTATCAAATTCAAATCATAATAAAATATGTCCTCTTCTGCTGACAGACAAGTGTGGACGGAAGGTTTGGAATCTGTACTTTCCACAGTGTCTCAGAGTTACGATAATACGATAAAAATTGTAAGAAAAGGCGTTTCAGGGAGGACATGCCATACAAGACTGTTTTAGAGTTTGTTTCGTTGATCAAGGAAATGTGGGACTGGGTTTACAGATACATGTGGGTGACTAATATGTGTGGACTTACTTAAAGCTATGTTTGGGATCAAAATGTTTATGTGTCGTGATAAATATACAGATTAACAGAGGGATCAGATTGTTCTTTCCATTTGATAAGAGTTGCAGCACCTGTCGTGAGACTGTGTTGTGTGCTATGAGGTCATAGGCCGAGGCATTTTGTGCATGTGTTTGTATATGCCTGTGTTTTCACCATATAAAAGTCATGGTTTAAAACTGTTTATCTGGGCAGTCAGTGTGTTTCGCCGGTAAAAAAAGACTATATTACATTAGAATAGTGATATATATATAAGCAAACATAAATACAGTAAAACATAAGAAGAATGGGTTGTTTTCAGTAAGGTTTTCGTCATGTTGGTTAGATACAGTTAGAAAAACACAGTTTTGGTTCCTGAATTCTCGCTGCTTTTCAGTCATCACATGGATTTGTTCAGTTTCATCACCTCATTTAATTTAAACAAGTTATTTTAATTATTTACAGTTATATTTTTAGTTATAAATTCCATTATTTATATATATATATATATATATATATATTTATATATATATAATATATATAAAATTTTTATTTTTATTTTTTTCTAAGAAAAGCAAGAGTTTCTAAAACTGGATTTCAAAAAATGTATAATTTTTGGTGAGATTACTTCAGAAAATTATCAACCAACTTCTAAGACTGAACTTTGGAGGTGTGTCTGCAGATTTCTTAGAGAAACTGAAAGTGAGTCTCCTGAAAAGAATGGAAGCTGTAATAAAGGTAAAGAGTGACACACTGAACACTGAAATACATATTCGCTGAGGCTTCTGTTTAATATCCAGTTAAATATGCTTTTTGCCTTTTTCTAGCACTGAAAAATGAATAATTTGTCAGTTTTGACTGAAAATTAAACAAAAGAATGGTGGTCTCTGAATTTTGCGCAGCACTGTATAAAAATTATGCTGCTTTCTTTGTTATCAGTGGTGATAAACGTGATTTCTTAAGGGTTAAACAGGCCGCATTTCTGTCTTTCTGTCTGCCATCTTGCTTTTTGTTTCGGGTTGTAATGAATGGCTCGCATTTCAGCTCTCTTCTAACCACACCCTCGTTTTCTTTTGGGTTTTTTTCTTGGTTTTAAACGGACAGAGTGTTCTCTCTCTCAAAGACGCATTACGTGAAATCCCCATAATGATAAAAAATTGACTTTGTGTGTCTCTCGGGCCGCGGAGAGGAGCGCGATTGATCTTCCTCAACTTTCATCTCGCTGCCTTTACTTTTTTCACATCGAGGCAGAGACGCACCCACACTTCTACAATTTAAACTGTGATAGCGTCACATTTGGCAACGCAGGAAAAGTCCTGGCACCTGGTAGACGCTGACAGTTACTGGTTGCTCCATGTGTTGGCACACACGCACACGCACACACACACACACACACACATACACACACACACACATACACACACACACACAGGCAAATATGGAGTGATCTGGCAAAGA